ATTATTATTATTATTATTATTATTATTATTATTATTATTATTATTATACACACCTCTAGTGGTTTAAAGAACTCTATGGGAGGGGTAATTGCAAATGTGCTCCATGCGTCTGCATTGTGAGCACGATAACTTGAATAATAAATGAGGCATCAAGTTCTGTTTTGGTGTGCAGCTACATCTAGGAGTAAGAAAGGTCGCTATCAAAAATTGGGTTGTCACATCAAAATCCAAGCTTGCTGCCACCATATATCTATGCAAACCAACCAGCATCTCTGTCTTCTACGTCTTACCCTTAGTCGGGTTTTGGAAACAACAGTTCCAGGACAGAAAGCTTAGACCCTTTTTCCCCAGTGACGCTTCAGGTCATCCTGGGGGACCACAAGGCTTTCCTAGACCAGAGAGGATACACGATCCCTTCAGTGAGTTATTCTCCAAGGTCTCTTCCCAGTGGAACATGTCTGGAAAACCTTCACAGGGGGCGTGGAGGAGGCACCCTGAACTCCGAGCCCCCCCGGATGATGGAGCTCCTCATCCTGTCTAAGGTTGAGACCAGTCATCTAATGAAGGAAGACCTTTTCATCTGCTTGGGTCCAGGATCTGGTTCTGTCAATCCTGGTCCAAACCGCATGACCACAGGTGAGGGTTGGAACGTAGACGGGCCAGTAAAACCAGAATTTTTCCTTTCAACGCAACTCTGCCTTCACTATGACCGTCCAAAGCAACACCCTCATTACTGAGGATGAGGCCCAATCCATCCATCTCCTGCTCCGTCCTACCATCATGGCCCTTAACTGCACCAGACGCTCCGCAGGCGCCCTGAATGGACGTCGTCTGCCGTGGTAGCTCGATGGTCTGAGGCTGCATCAGGACGGGCATAGAAACAACGGCCAAGTCTTTGTGCGAGTTCACTCGCTGTGGCAGGATGTACATCTACAGCTCTCATCCTCATTCAAGATGGCTGGCAGAAACACAAAAATGGCTAAAACCAGCCGTTTTTTCTTATACTGAGCTAAAGTTTGATGTGGTAGTAGCTGAGCATCATTCACAAGATGCTCTGATTATACATCTCCGATCGACACACGTCTCTCCAGATTTTGCTGTTACATAAAATTATAACGTTATTTTTGTTTGACCAAGATATCGTTAACTTCATTTCTCTCCTCAAGATGCTTACAGTTTAAAACTTGAGAATAAAAGAAGTAGAAGGCAAAAAGATGAAAATGTCCGGAGAGGTTTATGTTTGCTTTCTAGCCGCTTTGCACCTGCGTCAAAATGGAGCCCCGAGTGCTTAATTGGTGGAGAGGGAGGGGGACCAGGACCAGGACCAGGACCATCGTGACCCAGATGAGGAGCTCCCGTGAAAACACTCGTAGAAATCATTAAATGAGACGAGGTTTGATCGCTTGCTGATTGTTTTACCCCTCGCTGACGGAGTGTTGGTGAGCCGTAGTGACGAGCTGTCAGCTGATCCGAGCTCTGTGTTTGGGTCGTGCATACACGTGCACGGCTCCCTGCAGATATAATGCTCCTCCATAAAGGCTGCTAAAGATGGGAGTAATACCTGTAATCAGCAGACGTAATTGCAGCTGGAGACAGACTTTAAAAGAGACTGGAATGGATGATTTGTCTGAGATGCTCGTGTGTGAATCTCTAAATTACAGCTCCACCTGAGCCTTCAGGGTCAGCAGATGAAGTCACGCTCACACTCTTTATTTTGATTTTACACTGGTTTCTTTCACTGCCACCCTGCCTTCCTCTGCCTTACGTTTCCTTTTGTGGCGCTAACAAGGAAACAGCAAGTCTTGTCTGCCCTGCACGCTCAAAACGGACTTTATGTTCTCTTTACAGACGGCTGGATGGAGGAACTGGAGAATGATTACCTCGTGCATGATTACTGCTGAATCAAACAATGGAGCCAATCTGAGAGAAGCTTAAATTATACTGTAGGTGCAGGCAGATGTTTTAGTGCCCTGATTGTTTAAAAAGGTCTTAAAAATCACTGAAATAACCTTAAACTGATAGAAAAAATAAAAAATAAAAACATACTAATAATAAACTAGTTAGAATATATCACTGTTTTTGAATTCTTGTTAAACAAAAATTATTTAAAAGACTGATAAACTGGGCCTTAACAAACAGCTCGGCGCTCCTAAAGACACGTTAAACTCAGGTGCCTTCAGTCTGTAATCAGTCTGCTTGTTTAAAGGGTGACAGGTAGTCACAGGGCTGTTTGGTATCAAGGTGTGTAGCACACCGTGATCCTCTCTGTAATAACAACAACGTAGACATACAAACTGTATTTTCATATTCACATTAACGTGGTGTTGTGGAAAAAAGGGATTCCCAAAACAACCGTGTGTAAGCTGCAACACATTTATTACAAAGCTTTGGAGAACAGCCAGCAATCACAGAAGATCAATGCATTTACAAGTTCACAGTTATCAATGCTCTCACCTGTCCAAGGCTCTGACCTGTTCTGACTTCCTGAAGAGGAAAACAATCTGTTTTGTAGAATTTCAGCTTCTCCCCCGCCATCGAGCCGTTATGAGAAACACGGCTGCAGACAGCAGGACGAGGTATCCAAGGACTCTCCAAACTTACGTCACTGTAATCATATCAATCAGCCTGAAGATAATTAAAAGTATATCTTGCTGTCCCTTACTGGCAGGTTTCATCACGACTGATTATTACATAGAATAAGAGTCATGGATCATTTAATATCAGGTACAGACGTCCATTTTTGGTGTGTGGCTGCATTTAGACATTAGAAAGGTACCTGTCAAAAACTGGGTTGCCACATCAAAATCCAAGATGGCTGCCATTATACATTACATATTATTATTATTATACCATATTATATTATTATGTTATTATATTATTACATATTATATTATTATTATATGATTACACATTACATTATACATGTAAATATTGTGAATGGGATCAATGGGAAAAATGAGCAACACACTGACTTCCATTTTGCTGTGTGGCTTTATGTAGTTGGAAAAAAGGTAACTGTTGAAGTTTAGGGTGCCAAGTCAAAATCCAAGAGGACCACCACCATATATGAAAACTGACCGCCCCTATCATTTAAGGAAACTATGCTTTCTAGTTTTTATGTTGTTTAAAAGCATAGCTTCCTCAAATGATTGGGGTGGCTTAAGATTAATCCGTGATGGTCATGCACTGGTTCCACCATTACACCTGGTGGTGGATGAAATGACTCCCTCCACTCTCCAGGATCCATCACTCTGCGCTGCCTTGGACAAACAACAGCAACAAAATAACTCCCTCTGTTCTTCTCCACAGTGTAACCCCTACCCACTTGAAAATGTTGCACCAAAAACATTGTTGCCCTTTCACCCTTGTCAGCAGATGATGCCTTCTCTCGTCAACTGATGTTGAGACGGATTAAACCGATTCAGCGCTTCCCTTTCCTGTGTGCAGGTGAACATGCCTGAGCTGGCCTTGTTACGCTTCGTGGTGTTGGACGATGACTACATCGGAGATGACTTCATCGGCCAGTACACCGTGGCCTTCGAGTGCCTTCAGCCTGGCTACCGGAACGTGCCCCTGCTGGGCCTAGCAGGAGACCCCTTACCTCACGCCGGCCTTTTTGTCCACGTGGTTATCACCAACCGACGAGGGGACGGGAAGGCCCCGCGCCGAGGGCTGTCAGTGAGGAGGGCAGGTCGACGTGGAAGGGAGTACGTCTCACTGAGACACACGGGCATCAAGATGGTGGACGAGGTCTTCAAACAAGCGGGTGGGCCCCTTAAAGAGGCCACAGACCTGCGAGAGTACGCTCAGGTACGAGAGAACATCGTGTGTGTTAGATTATGAAGGTTTTACAAATGTGAGAGTCTTCTCTAGTTTGATATCTGGTTTAGATCTTTTTTTAACAGAGAAGTTTTTGTGGTCATATTGAAACTTATCTTCTATAGCACCCATTACTTGTGGAGTGCCTCAGGGCTCTATACTTGGTGCTCTTTTCTTCTCTTTGCATTTGCTCACACTCAATTGTATTTTCCGACGATGCCTTCACTGCCTTCTGTAGTTTGATGTCTGGGTATAATTTTCACAGTGGAGTGAAACAAACAGCACTTTTATTATCAAAGGATTGGCTGAAAAGATACAATAAAATGTGTATTGTCTGCGACTACTTTAGTTGCTTGCTGCTGATAAAAGATAACTAGTCATGCTTGAGAATAGTTTCAAGATAGCCCTTATTTGTTTTTGCTTTTTCCTAATCAAAGTTTTAAAAGTGGACAAAAGATTCACCTTTTTTTTAATTTAAGGAAAAAAAGTAATTTTAAGCAGTTAAATAAGGTGGTTGATTTTTCCTCTAAGGAACACTTAACTGTCACAAAGGTAAAGGGACTTCCAACGGTGAAAAACCTGGTTTCAAGTTTAATATGGAAGAATTAGACTACCCCGCACACAGCCCCGACTGCAGCCCATCTAGCACATTTGGGACGATCTGGAGCAAAGATTGAAAGCTGGACCTTGGGGCAGCTGTGGATGAGCGGTTAGAGCAGTTGTCCTCCAAAGGAAGAGTTGGGGGTTCGATTCCACCAGCAGTCACATGTTTGAAGTGTCCCTGGGCAAGACACTGAACCTCTCATTGTCTCTGATGTGTGTCCCATGTGTATGAATGTGTGTGTGGAGGTAAATGAGGCTCAGATTGTTGTAAAGAGCTTTGAGTATCTTGATAGAAAGTACAGTCCATGGACCTTCTTGTCCAACATCAGTGCCTGTCACTTAATAAAAGCTCTACAAAAAGAAAAAGGCACCCCCCCGCCTCTGTGCATGTCAGCTTGTTAAGTTAATTTAATAGGGACTAGAACTCTGGACAACTTTCACAAACATGGTTCTGCAAAATGATCATAAAGACGGTCCAAATGTAAGTTCCTGTGACTGGCGATACAGGAAGTGGAATATTTTGCTACAGAACCAGTTAAGTTAACTTCACTCATTGTCCCATTCCAGTCCAGAAAAACACTCATCTTCAAAACTACAAACATTCACTATTCAAATCCCTCAGCGACAGGGACATCAGCATTCCCCTTGATTTTATTAGAATTTTGGAAGTAATTTCAAAAACTGTCCCGTATCGATTCCCATGTTGTTGTTTTTGTTTAAAGCCTTTTTTCTATAAACTTAGAGCAGAACAAGTTGAGTTCATTATAAGTTTTAGACGTGAACGGAGAAGAATTCAGTTCTGTTCCTCCTGTGAACCGCTGTGTTGAAGGGACGCGAGTACCTGGAATCACAGTCCACCTGAGACGTGTCCTTTGGGTGAACAAACGAGGAGGAGGAGGACGAGGCGTGACAAAAGGACGAGTCAGTGAGAAGTGTGGAGGAGGACAATAAAGCTTCTATAAATACTCTAAAGATGTGGAGGCTGTTCACACAGCACCCACCAGCTGGTCGCAGAGCACCAACACGTCTGAAGAGAACCACACTGTGTGTTCCAACACCATTATATGGGATGGATGAGCAAGAAGTGTATACAGTATATATACCTGTGTGTGTGTGTGTGTGTGTGTGTGTGTGTGTGTGTCTATATATATATATATATATATATAGACACACATTTAAAATAAATCTTGTTTTCATCCAAGTCAAGGTTTTAATGATTTAAAGGCCTGCATTTCATGCAAGCACTACATATCGTGCATAAGTTTTAGACTAAGAAATGACAAAATTCTGGTTGTTTATGTTGAATCTCTTACATGACATCCATCCATCCATCCATCCGTCCATCCATCCATCCATCCATCCATCCATCCATCCATCCATCCATCCGTCCATCCATCCATCCATCCATCCATCATGTGGAGAGTGGTGGCGCAGAGGTTAGAGAAGGTGGGCCTGTGATCGGAATATCGCCGGTTCACGCCCCGGTACCGACAACATCAAAAATGTGGGTGGGGTAGGTGAAGCACCCTCATTCGCCCCACTCTGAGCCCATGAGCAAGGCACTTATCCCCCATCAGCTTCCTAAACAGGTCTCGCTTGAAAATCAGTTCTCGTGACTCAATGAGACTACCTGGATAAATAAAGGGTAAATGAAAAATAAAAATCCATCCATCATCTTGTTCTGGACTCAGGTCTCGGGGGCAGCATCTTGATCAGGGAGGTCCAGACATCTCTCTCCACAGCCTCTTCCAGTTCTTCTGGGAGGACTCCAAGGCGTTCCCAGGCCAACTGAGAGACGTAGTCTCTCCAGCGTGTCCTGGGTCTTCCCCGGGGTCTCCTCCCAGTCAGACACGCCTGAACCACCTCACCTGGTTCCTTTTGATGTGGAGGAGCCACAACTTCCTGTATCCCTGATCTTGTTCTTTCAGTCTCTACCCAGAGTTCATGACCAGAGGTGAGAGTAGGAACGTAGACTGACCGGTAAGCAGAGCGATTTGTCTTACAGCTCAGCTCCCTCTTCACCACAACGGACCGGCACAGAGTCCACAATACTGCAGATGCTGCACCAATCCTTCTGTCAGTCTCACGCTCCATTCTTCCCTCACTCGGGAACAAAAACCCAGAGATATGTGAACTTCTCCACTTGAGGCAGAACCTCACCCTCGACCTGAAGAGAACATCTTAAATTATATTTTATGAGATTTCACATTTTAACTCAAAATCTGTAGAAGCTATTTTTGCGTTTGCTAATTTGAATTAGCTGTGGGAGCCATCTTGAATAACTGGTTCTGTTGTTTTCTGTACGCTCAGCATCTTGGGCACGGGTAAGTTGGGTTAAACAAACGTACGTTGCTGTTGGATCTGACACATATGATCATGTTTCTCCCCTTTATTAGTTCAGTTACTGTCTTTTTCAATTCAGTTCAATTCAAAAATACTTTATTAATCCCAGAGGGAAATTATATAATGAGGATGAGGTGAAATGTTGGACTGAGATATTCTGATAGACACAAACGTGAGCCAAACAATTACTGTCTGCATTCACCTTCCTGCAGCGACTGATGAAAATTTAACTCGCAGCATCTTTAACGCCGACAAATAACTAAACAAAGACCAAATTAAGTCTGATTGTAGATGTGAAGCAACCGTTGCCCGTCAGTTTTCCATGTTCTTCTTGCACCTCCGGTTGTCTTCTCGGCGTTCGCGCCCCTGCTGCTGTAAATCCCACATAGACAGGAACCTTCCTGTAAGTTGCACGTTCTCTGCCCAGGAGCAGAGCTGTGATTCTTCCTGTTAAAGGAGACGGGTATGAAGCCAACGAATGTACATTTACGGCTTCAAGTGGACGTGTGGATCACACGTTTAAAAGTCAGGGAAGGATCCTGCAGTTCCTCAAGTGCACAAAGTAAAACTCTTTCCGTCACGAACTTTGTGCACCCCGAATGAAACGCACACATTAAAAACACACTGAAGGCTGATTTCTGCTCCATCAGAAGCGTTTGTGACTTCATCTCTTGATGAAGATGACGTGTTTTGTTCCGGCTCCGCCCCTGAACTGGTTCTGTGCGCAGCCCCCGTCAGAACTGTTGTCTCGCTGTGCTGCACCAAGTTCTGTGGGACTGATCAGAACTTTGTGACCGTGTGGACCTGTGGCTGCGTGTCGCTGAGCTTGTTTCCTGTAACTGTCCCAGTGAGGAGCAGCTAACGGATTATTTAGAACGATGGTCAAAGAACTCCTGGAAAAAGATGGCACGATGTTTGTGCACGGAGACGTAGGCGGCTTTCTCTGCTGTCCAGGACGAGAGGGAGTTTGCCTCGGCTCGAGTGTCGCCGTCTGTCAGAAACATCTGGTATCTCCGTTTAAACCAGAGATACCAGATGTTTCTCCTCCAACTCCTGAGAATAAACATCCAGTCTACCAATCGTGCGCTGTAGTGGGAGGGGCTTACCAGGAGTTCTCCTCCGCAGTTTCTCTTCGAGTATAAAATGTCTGCGCAAAAACTACCGTCTCGCAGGCACATCAGCGTGACCCGATGTCTTTCATCTTGTGACGTGTAAACCAGCTCGTGTTCTGAGCTGACCCAACGCAGAGCTACGTCACGCAGAGAGGAAACACCGGATGGTTCTGAAAAATACACTCGAAAACCAACACAACGTTAATAAAATCAACACAACGTTAATAAAATCAACACAATGTTAATAAAACCAACACAACGTTAATAAAATCAACACTACGTTAATAAAATCAACACAACGTTAATAAAATCAACACAACGTTAATAATTTGATTTTAACACAGTTCAGAGTCGAACTTATGTGGAACTTATCAAACTGATCTCTAGCTGAGTGTAACTGTGATGTAAGAGAACGGAGCTGTATGCAGATGTCTATTATGACATATGTCTATTCTACGTCTAGTTCTACACAACCCTTTGTGACAATGTGAAAAAGATATTTCAAGATTTTAGCCCATTTATTAAAAATCTAAAACTTGTTAGAAAACATTTCTTATTTTTCAAGTGATGATGTTCACAGGACAGACAATAACTCCAGCTCTAATCAATCAATCAATCAATCAATCAATCAATCAATGAATCAATCAATCAATCAATCAATCAGTCAATTACAATAATGGGGCTTGAACAGTTTCACAGAGCTCGGGCTCTAGATTTAAAATCCTCCACAGTGATTCCTGGTGCACGGACAGCAACAGCTCTGTGTTTAATTAGACGAGTACAAAGTGGCAGCACGCTGTCGAACTGTTGTTCTGCGGTTGGCGCAGGACGGTCCGGCTCCAATCCGCTCCAAACACGACCAGAACCAACGTTACACTGAAGAGAACCTCACCGCGCCTCGCTCCACTCTCATTAGTACATCCCAACAAAACTAACATCTGCGTCAAAAGGGATTCTGATCCACTTTTAACTGAAAACAGCAAATTAAAAATACACAGTCATCGTCATCATCATCATCATCATCATCATCATCATCATCATCAGTTATCTTCGATAAACTCACAGTTCAAGCAGGAAATGAGTGAAGACGAATGTTGGATCTTTTTCATCTGGTCCTTTGGTGTCTCTGCCACGACTCCAGCTGTGCTCAGTTGGTCCACGTCATGTTCGTCTTCTACAGGTTCATTCAGCCACAGGTGTCCTGACCCTGAACACCTGCACAGTTTCAGCCTTTCACACATCTGTCAAAGACAGAAGAGTTCTGCTCTGGTCTCTGTCAGGAAACGTTCTCTGGTCCCGCCCAAAACATCTAATCTGCTCAAATTTAACAACTTTCTACAGAAGTGCATCACTAGATGGAGTATCATGTACACTGGTCATCCACCCATCCATCCATTCCTCCAACCATCCATCCAACCATCCATCCATTCCTCCAACCATCCATCCAACCATTCATCCATTCATCCAACCATTCATCCATTCATCAATCCATCCATTCACCCATCCATCCATCCATCCAT